ATGAATGACACAATAGAGGTCAGATATGCTTCTCATAGAAAGCATCTTATACTAAACCCACAGGCATACGTCCCACCATTATATCGGGAACATCTTCCATTCATGGGAAATGTTCCCAATACATGGAGGGATGTACTTGTGAGGTCGGTGCAAGGTGCACTGTGTGAGATATATCATATTCAAGTATAGGAGATATTCTCAATGTATGTCAATGCTAATATACTGTGGTATATTGTGGGTAGGTGTGGGTCAGTGGGTATATGCCCACACGCTGTGTGAGGAGCAGATCCCATTCACGTAGTGTCTATGATACAATATTCAAATACACAAATTGTTCCTCATGTAGTCTGTAGTCTATGGTGTATTGTGAATAGGTGTGGGTAGTAGATCTGAACTCATATAAATGTGGCAATTGGGTGTGGATTTTGCTACAATTTGCCCTTTTAATCCAAAAATCCATTTACACAAATGTTATAAGACTTGGACCGGATTAAAAACAGAATGCTCTATGGGTCATGGTTTTTGAGGTTAAACAGGTGGTTGAACCATTCAACTCGTAAAAACTGTTAATAGGACCCGAAATGGTCACTCGTTCTCTGTTTGTTTTCATTGTCCGACCATCTGGTCTGATTGATCAGTCTTACAACACACACTCCAAATCTGCTAAAATCAAAGACGTACATGTACAACAAGAGTCAACAGTGAATACGCTTGTGATCTGTACACCCACACAAGGTGTGAGGTTAAGTGTATGAATCAGTTACGTCTAGGGCTATCAACAGGGTGCGTCTGGGTCAAGTCTACGTAGAATTAGCCCCGAAGTGATTATTAATTGGGATAAAATCATAGACCCAAAATCGTTCTGGTTAATAATTGGGTTTATCATCGGGTTCAAACCTAATTATATTAAAAATTATATGTTTTTATTTAAATAATAACTTAAAATTTAAATTTTGATAATACAATCTTAATAAAATCGATAGAGAAATATTAAATTATTTATATGTTAATAAATTAAACATTTTAAATTAATATTATCTATCAAATTTGTCATTTTAAACATAAAATATGATAAACTTATACAAATTTAAAAAATATTATATACTTAATAAAATAATTGGTTCTGGGTTTGAATCGATTCAGGACAGACAAAAACAAGAATCAAGCCAATTATTAACCGGTGGACAAAATCATGAAACCAGAACCATTATAATCAGTTCAGTCTATTTGAGTTCGTTGAATAAACCCACCCCATTAACAGCCCTTGTTATGTCACCAGTTCTACATGCCTTTGTTTGTGGTAGATCTCATCTCACCCTTACAATACATTTAAGAACTACCCATCTACATATGGATTTCAGATCTGCTAGTTTGCTACCCACAAGAATACGACCACACTATCCACAAGAACACTACAACTGTGGGATTGTGGGAACATCCTCTATGAATAGCAATATACAAGCACTAGAGATGTTCCAATGTGCAGCTGCAGTGTTTTGGTGAGCAGGATTTCCTACACTTAAATCTCTTGAACAAAGTATACATTAATCAATCTAAATTCAACAAAATTGACTCTATCGTCAGCCTAAATTAAAGTGGTTTCATTTCGGGAAAAGTGATAAATGACAGCATACTCATAGCCCATGAATTAATCCATCACATGAAAACTTCTAAAAGTTTAAAAGGCATGATGACTCTTAAACTTGACACGAGCAAGGCTTATGACAGATTAGAGTGGGATTTTATTCAGAGGGTTCCCCTCAAATTGGGTTTTGGTCCAAGGTGGGTCTGGTGGGTGATAGAGTGTGTATCCACAGTATCTTATTAGATTCTAGTCAATGGTATTCCCACAGAAAAAACTATTCCCAGAAAGAGGAATCAGGCAAGGGGGCCCTTTATCTCCATACCTTTTTCTCCTGTGCTCTGAAGTTTTTTCGATAAACTTAAATGGGCTGGTCCAAAACTCCTTAATCTCATGTATAAGATTAAATTCTCACTACCCCATCATTTCTCACTTATTTTTTGCAAATGACAACTATATATTCATAAGAGCCTCCCTTAAGGAAGGAGCTCATGTGGTAGAAGTCATTCAAAGATATGAAAGGGCCTCTAGTCAACATGTGAGTTTTACTATGTCTGAAATCTTTTTTAGCTCTAAAACCCACCTCAAATTCACGAGAATCATCACTAAGAGCCTTAAAGTCAAGTTAGTAAGGAGCCCCTCCAAATACCTTGGACTACCTACATGTTTTAGTAGAATCAAAGCAAATATATTTTCTCAGCTGGTGGAGAGAGTTTAGAGCAAAATGAAAGCTTGGAATGAGAAGTACCTAAGCCAAGTAGGGATGGAGACTTTATTGAAATCCGTTGCAGCAGCTATTTTAGCCTATGCTATGTCATGTTTCCTAATCCTCAAAAAAAAAATCTATGGAGAATAAATAAACTCCAAAGAAGCTTCTGGTGGGGTAAGAATGAAAATAATAGAAGTAAAATCCATTGGGTGGATTGGAACACAATTACAAGAAACAAACTAAATGGGGTTTAGGCTTTAGGGATTCCTGTTGTTTTAACCTTACTCTCCTAGCAAAGCTTGCACGGAGAATCGCTCTAGGTGAAAATAACCTATGGGCCCAAGTAATAAAAGGGAAATACATTAAAAATAAAAATTTCCTAAGGGATGGTCTCCCCTCCTCTGGCTCTTGGGGATGGAAAAACATCCTAACTAGAAGAAAGCTTATCCAAAAAGAAGTTATTTACTGGTTAACTAAGGCAACAACCTCTCAATTTAGGGAGACAATTGGCTACCTCAGGTAGAAGGTTTCAAGCTAATGGGCCCAAGCCCAGGGCCAGATTCTCCTACGATGGTAAGAGAACTAATTGACAGTAATAGCAAAGCATAGAATGAAGATTTTAGTAAAGGACCTGGTGGGGATTTCTATGCAATAAAAATTCTAAAATTGAATTTGGCAAGAGGGGAGTAGGAGGATGTGCTAGCTTGGACACTAGACTCGAAAGGAAGTTTTACAGTTAGGTCAGCCTACTATGTAGCAAAACAACTTAGCGAGTTAGATAATACTGAGATTGACCAGCCCTCCAACTATACCCTCTGGAAGTCTATATGGAAAATCCATGTTGAGCCCAAAGTCAAAACTTTCCTATGGAAATATAGCAAAGATGTAATTCATGTTAGAACCTCCTTAGCAAAAAGACATGTAGCAAACAATGATACATGTGAAATCTATGGTGCAACTAACATAAATTGTCTTCCATGCCCTTGGTCAATGTGAATTAGCTAAGAAAACTTGGATTGGCAGTGTTTTCAATGCTTGAATGGACACCTACGCTACTGATATAACTTTTAAAGATTGGCTCCAAAGCTGGCTTCAATCTTGTGCTTGAGTGAAGGAGGATGCCCCTTTTCTTATCCAAAATGCTGCCCATATATTGTGGTTCCTATGGAAAGCAAAGCTCTCCAAATTTGGTTTTGATGAATGTATACAGGCAATTGCAGCTCATGATAGGGACTTTGAAGAATTACTTAAGGAGGTACGAATGTATTTGAAATTACAAATCTAGTTCTTTTTTGGCAACCTCCTCCCGCAGGACAAGTGAAAATTAATGTTGATGAGAGTTCAAGCATAACAATAAGGGGAGTTTTGGAGCTATGATTAGAGATTCGAATGGTTTTATTTTGGCAGCATGTTTTGTTCCTACTCTTGTAGCTTCAGCTCTCCAAGTAGAGGCCATACCTATGAGAAAAGGTTTGGATCTGGTTATACTCTCAGGTTTCTCCAACTATGTGGTGGAATCTGATCGTAAAGAACTTCTCTCAGATGTCAATAAAAAAAATCTCCCCATCCCAGCAGAGCATTGATAAAGCAATGGGCTCTATGACTGTTTCCTTTTCCTTGATTAGTAGAAATGGTAATGGGCTGGCCCATACCTTAGCGCAGAGAGGTGTGTAGGATCGAGGTATATTTTTGTTTGATTGCCCGGAGTGGCTCACAAATTTAGCTGGAACTGATTCTACATAGCTTTTTTCTGTTTTTTTTCTTCTCTGTTGCTTTTTTTTTTTCTGTTACATGTTTGTTAGAGACTATGGTCTTATTTGTTTGAAATGAAGTATTCCTCTTCCTACCAGAAAAAATTGGTAAGATCAGATTTAATTTTCACAAAATTGGTCCTCACACCATCCATACAACACTTGTAGTTAGGGGTGTGCAAGAAATACCAAACCGAAGCAACAAGATCAAACCAAAAGATCTGGTTAACCAAACTGGTTGGTTTGGTTTCAGTTCGGAATTTTTAAAAATCAAAGGTAACAATTCAGTTTCCATTAACCAATATAGAAAATCGACATTAATCGAACCAACTGATATAAATATATTTCTATATATTATATGTATATTATTTTTATATTTAAAGTATAATGTTTTATATACATTTTTAGTTTTTTTATTATATATTTATATATTTATTTATAATATATACTATAAATATAAAAAACCAAAAAACCAACTAATCAAACCAGCGGTTAATCGATCGACTTCAATTTGATTTTAATTATTGATTCTTTAAACACCGGCAATATTAATTCGGTTTAAAAATAAGCCGATGATTCGGTTAACTAAACTTTGAGCACCCCTACTTCATATTTATATATCTTATTGATAGTAAGATGCTCCCAATGCATGGATGAAAGGATTGTGAGGACGGTGTATGGACTAAATTTGTAAGGACTAAATCCAATTCCTGATTAATTAGCCTCTTATTTCCGTTCAGCCTTGCTAATTACAGGAAAAAAAAAGTGTAGGAGATCCGGATCCGTGGGAAGCCCGGTTCGGGTCGCTCAATGGTCAATACATCCAAATCCAACACTTTTGTACGGATTGAATTCCAATCGCATTCTTTACTTTTCTATCACGAAAGAAATCGAAATGGACAAATAGCCCTAAGTTTTACTGTTAACTGACCAAATTAACCCTTTCAGAAATAAAACTGCGATGATAAAAACTTTCTCGTTCCTCTAAAGACTAATCTTTACACTCCGACGATCAAAGTAGTGCGGCTCGAGAGGCCATAGCTTCTCGTATCTGCATCTCCCAACGAGGCAACGACTAATCTTTCATATTTACAACAATCAACGGAAGAAACAAAGGGAAAACAAAGGGTATCGCTCCCAACTCTATCAGATTTGAAATGCATTTCCTAGTATTCTTCTGATATTTTCACCTAGGAGATTCATTACTCTTCTCTGAAATCTAGGGTTCTTTTCAATGTTCATCTGTTATTATGTTTAATCTCATGGGATTTGGATGTGCGTTTATTTGTCTAAGTTTAGTTTTCTAGCTGATGTTAAATGGAATGGCTGTTTCGTTTTTGTTTTCTTATTCAACTATTCTCCTGGATGTAATTTTTGCTTGGTTTGCATTTCTTCAATGTTTATGCTACATGGCCGGATCTGGTTTTGGTAATTGCATATGAGTGCTTGTTATTGAGTAGAATCGGTATTCTGTTGCTAGGGTTTGCTTAGTTTTTCATTCATTTTTGTGTACTATATCCTGTGATCTTTGAATTCAATTTTTGCTTGGTATCTCAAAATTGAGGCATTCATTTGTTGCATTGATTTGTCATTCATTAACTGGAGTATTTTCATCTTGTAGAGGGGCATTTTGTACAAAATCGGAAGCTAAATTGATCAGATAATTCTAACTACTAACAAAATGTTGAAGTCAATATTGTTAGTTAAACGAGCAAAATATTTAACAAGATAAGTAATGAAGAGGATGTTTATGGCTTCTTTCTGGAATGGCTTCCTATGTTATGATATCTGACTTGTAGAAATTGAAATACCTAAAATGCCTTTTTCTTTTCATTGTCTCAGCTTGCTAATTGATATATTGATAAATCGGTATACTTATTTGATTAAATGGCTTGATTTTTTAAGTTCATGGCATCAAAGTTACAACAGTTACAAACCAAGGCTGCTCAGGCATCACAGTTTGTTGCCAAGCATGGATGTGCTTACTACAAGCAATTGATGGAACAGAACAAGCAGTATGTTGTGGAACCTCCTACCGTGGAGAAATGCAATCTCCTTGCAAAACAACTCTTTTACACTCGTCTTGCTAGGTTAGTTTCTTTTATTGGTAATCTAGCTTCTTTTTCCATCCCTTTGATTGCTTGGTTATATGTAATCATCTTAGGCCAATTCTGTAGTAGGAGTATTCCTGTTTTCTTGCCTTCCTTTATCTCTTTCTTTCTTGCCATTAATGTCTTATGGCTTGAATACTGCGGCATTGATGTTGCAAGTTGGCATATGAAATGTAACAACCCTTTTCTTGTTTTTTTGTGTTGCTTCATTAATTCATTGATTCACTCTATACATGCTATAAGAATATTTTACCACCCTAACTTTGTAGTTCCACAATGCCTTTCATGTTAACCATGAGCAGCCATATGATCTCAGATATGGTTGCAGCTTCTTCATAACAACTTATATTATAAGATCATTTTATGGATAATTTTATTCATCCGAATATAATTTGCATTTTATGTTCTTTGCCTGAGGCACTAGTTTGAAATTTCAACCTTTCTTGGTCTATTATGTTCTTTAAGTTGTTCATTTTTCTTTTCACCTAGTATACATCCATTGTTCTGCATCCTAGGCAGATCTTTTTTTTCCAATTTTTAGACATTTTTTTATCAGTAACAGGAACTTTTCATTAAGAAATATGTTTTAGATACAAAGGAGGGGAACTAAACTATCATAACTCCCCATGGATGCCAAAAGCCACCCAAAAAGAAAGTAAAAAAACAGTTACAAATGAGCCTAGAATACAGAATCCCATGCACCCCTTGTCTGGCTAACCCATTGGCAAAGGATTTTGCATTTCTCTTTACCCAAGTACGTTTTACATCAATGCGCTTTGTCAAACACTTAAACTTTCTATTTTCGTTGCCGTAATTCCAGAGGTTCCTGTCTTTCTTTAACCAGTCTACTATCTCAGAATCTCCTATGATCAGCTTACTGATAGTCAGGTCTTTAGCTCTTTTTACCCCTTCCAAAGCCACCAGAACCTCAACCCTAAGAGAGTCACCTATTCCAATTGGGCCTAAAAACAGAGCTATTACAATCCTTTGTTCATTCCTTAGTACCNCACACACACACACAATTCCAGAGGGCCCTGGATTTCCAATACTACTGCCATCAAAATTCAACTTTATAAAGCCACTAGGGGGAGGAGTCCATAAAGGACTTGAGGTCTTCTTAGCTGGGACTGAACTTGCAATCTCTTTCCATTTTCTTAGCAAATCATCCACTGAAAAGTCTGTGAACAAATCTAGAGATTTCAGTCAGTGTATCACCCTTATTGTGGATCATTTCTAAGCCTCTCTCCCTGTATGAAAAGATTCTTGAGTTTCTTTCTTCCGGTCTTCCCATATAGTCCAGCAAACAGCAGCCATTACACATTTCCACATAATCCTAAATCTTTTCGTTGGCCAGTTGAAGGAAGAAGATTAATAAGTGGTAACCAGACTCACGATCAGCCTTGCAAAGAATACACCAATGAGGGGATACACATATATTGGGTCTCTTCCTTCGAAGCAAACTGCATGTGTTGAATCTTTCCAAGAAAGCTTCCCAACAAAAACTCCCAACCTTTGGTGGGAGTGGGATAGGCTAACACCAAACTTCTTTAATAGGAAAGGACAGAGCAGAAGGATCAACCGATTGAGTTAGGGCTTTAAAGGAGATACAAGTGAAAGAATCCAAAGGAGAGGGGGTCCAAATTCTGCTATCCAGCTTTGTGGGGTCCAAGAAAAACCCATCAAGGATGCCCAAATGTGTCAAGGTACTGTCCAATTTTGTGTCCTCGATAGCTCTTCTCAAATCCAAGTTTCAACCAAACCCAAAAATCAAGTTAGAGGGTACAAGGAAAGTGGAAATAGGTTTATTTTTAAAGATAGAGATAGAAAATAGAGCTTGAAATCGGTCTTTCAAAGGAGAGTCGCTAACCCAAACTTGTTCCCAAAACTTAATGGGATTGCCTGAGTGCAAGTCATACCTTGGATTGCTTTCCAAGGTGATACTCTTGTAGTCTTAGCTAGAATCCCTAGATCCCATCCATTATCTGCAAGCCCATGAATACTAGTTACTACCTTAGCCCAAAACTTTTCTTTTTCTAAAGGGAACCTCTATAGCCACTTTCCAAACAAAGCCAAGTTTCTCTTTTGTATATTCCTAATGCCAATGCCTCCATACCTCTTCTACTCACCACCACCCACCCAACCCTATGGTTCTTTTTCTCCTCCCCTGGTTCCTAAAGAAAGTCTCATTAGTTTTTCCAACTTGCTAATCACCCCTATTGGAATCTTGAAAATTGACAAAAAATTAAATAGGCAAGTTAGTTAGTGTAGACCTAATCAGGTGATTCTTCTTCCAAGAGATAAATAAATTTTCTTTCATGAGGCAAGTCTCTTAAAAATCTCTCCACGACTGGATTCCAAAAACTCCCTTTCTAAGGATTATCTCCTAGGGGCAGACCTAGGTAATTTAGAGGCCAATTAGATACCGCACATTCGAGAATGTCAATGTACTCAAATATCTCCCCTTCTCTCATATTGATTCCCACTATACAACTTTTCTCAAAGTTCACCTTTCAGGTTTAACATTTGTTCAAGAAGTTGTATTGCGAGTTTCAGATTCCTAATCCAATTCAGGTCACCACCACAAAAAAGTATCATATCATCTGCAAATTGCAAGTGAGTGGTATGTCCTCCTTGCCTATTCTTAGCCTCTTACTAAAAACCTAGAATCTGCTTTAGAAATCAGTTTCCCCAAGACATTTGCAACTAAGGTAAACAAAAAAGGAGAAAGAGGGTCTTCTTGTCTTATTCCTCTCAATATCGGGAAGAAATCCACCACTGTCCCATTTACCAAAATAGAGTAGTGACAAGTCCTAACACACCCCATCGCCCATTTGCACTGTTTATCTCCAAACCCAAAATTACCCTATCACCCATTTGCACAATTTATCTCCAAACCCAAAATTAATCATCACCTCCAGCAAAAAGGACCAATCTACGAGATCATAAGCTTTTTCTAGATCCAACATGCACACTGCTCCCTTTTCCCATGACTTATTGAAATCCCCCACACTTTCATTTGCTATTAGAATTTGATCAGCTATCTGCCTTTCCCTTACAAAAGCTCCTTGGTTATAAGCTATAAGGGTAGGAGCACCTGCCTATTCCTAAGGGACTACACTTTTGCAATAATCTTGTACAAACTATTCACCAAACTAATTGGTCTATAGTCTCTTGGATGGGTAGCTTCTCTCTTCCTGGGAACCAAAGCAATGAAGGTGGGATTCAGCCTAGGGTTAATGCACTCCTCTTCTATGAAACTCATCGAACACTGACATCAGATCCTCTTTCAATATCTCCCAACAATCCTAATAATATGCCATCGTGAATCCATCTAGGCCTGGTGCTTTTGATATGTCCATGGAAAACATTGCTTCCTTTATTTCTTCCAACTCAAATCTTCTCTCTAACCATTTTTTTATAGAAAACGGTAACTTTCATTGACGATTTTAAATAAAAATTACAGTTATCACCATCCATAGGAAGGATGGAAAACCAGAACAAAAAACCTTACAAACAAGTCCAAAACAAAGCCTCCCTAATGACTCCTTGCTTAGCTAAAGCATCAGGCACTCCATTTGCTGACCTTTTTACCCATTTAAATTGCACCCCAATCTCCCTTGCTAAGCTAGTATTCTCTTTTAGAGGCTGTCTAAGTGACCATACTCCCAAGTTTCTAGATTGCATCCACCCTATTACCAGCTTGGTGTCTCCTTCCACTTCTAAGTGCTGCATTCTCCATTGTTTCGCTAACCTCAGGCCTTGGAGTAAGGCCATAACTTCTGCCCTTAAGGGATCTCCCACCCCAATCGGGCCCGAGTAAAGGGCCACGACTCTTCCTTCCTCATTTCTGAAGATACCCCCAACTCTTCTCTCTAACCATTCCCTAGCCTCTCTTCCCATTCCCTAGCCTCTCTTCCTAAACTTTGGCCATTCCATCCCCTCTAGCCACACCCTATCACTTAAAGACCTTCTAAAGATAGATTTGAGGTGATCCACAAAGGTCCTAGCAATCTCACTCTAATGGGATATGGTTGATCCGTCAATTTCTAACATTGAGATGGAATTTTTTTCCTCCTCCTACCATTTGGTGGAATGACAGTGTATCATGAGAGGATGTTGAAGCTGAGAATGAAAGACTTACTTTTCTTCATGGCTTATCTGGTTGCTATTGACTAAAGAAGGTTGATGTAGGACAGGTAGGAGTGTTCCATTAAATCATCTCTGACACTCAAAGTAGGTTTATGCCATGGTTTGGAAAGAAATCCAACAAAATGAAGACTAAAAACAGGTTTTCAAAAAAAAACGGCCTGGCTGTTAGAACTTAGAACTTAGAGGGCACCAGAGAGAGCAGAGACTAAGGGTCCATTTGGTTCACAGTTGGAATCAGTCTATTCCCCTCACCTGTTTGGTTCAGACCAGAATTGGCTGGAATGGAATTTCATTCCCAGGGGAGGGGAAGGAATGGCCATTCCCTCAAACGGGGGAATGCCATTCCACCAGGAATGGGATGGGATTCCAATTCCGCCCAACCAAACAGTTGGAATCGGAATGGACCATTCCTATTCCGATTCTGGACCCCAATTCCTGCAAACCAAATGGACTCTAAGAGTGGAGAATAGAGAGAGTATAGAATAAGAGTAGACGAGAATGGCTATGCTATAATAGAAAAACAAGAGAATAAAAAGGGACAAACAGTTGTAATTAGGGCTGTCAATGGACCGGATATTGGTCCAATCTGATCCGATCCAATATGAGTCCATTATGGATGGACCAGGTCCAATCTAATCCGATGAATACTTTGGACCATTCTGGACTGGTCCAATTCAAATGTCTGGACCATCCAAACTGTTCAAATTGGTTTTAATTTAGATTGGGTCCAATCCAAACCTGGTCCATTAACACCTGTACTCTTATCTTATGTCAATGGACCGGATATTGATTCAATCCGACTTACTCCAATATGAATCCATTACAAATGAACCATGGCCAATCCAATCCAGTAAATACTTTGGACCATTAAGTCTGGACTGGTCCAATTCAACATGTCTTATTGGTCCATCCAATCCATTCAAATTGATTTTGATTTGGACAGGGTCCAACCAAACGGTCCATTGACACCCCTAGCTCTCATCACTAGAGAGAGACATATGGGTAGGGCTGTCAGTGACGCAAAAGTTTGATACCTGATTCAAAATCCAATCCAATTAAAATCGGAGTCCCATTAATATCTGTGTGTGCAATATAATTATGCATATATGCAGACATTATATACAATTATATAAAGTTTATAACTAATAAATTGAATAATTTATATTTATATAAATTTATTATATATGTACAAGTTAAAAGGTAAATAATTATTTTGAACTTTTTTTTTTCATTTTAGGAACAATAATTTGGACTCGGATTAAATCCAAATCTGATCCGAGTTGAACATATTGGGTTTCAGATTGGATTCGGACTCAATGCTATGTTAATTGGATCAATGTAGCCGGATCCAATCCAAATCTGACCTGATCGCAGCCCCATGGGATAAAAACCAACAACATGAAATTATCAAACTGAAATTCTATTCCATTCATCACTAACAAAAGGATACATCCTCCTCATTTGGATTGGTGTTACTTAATGAGGAGGTAAGTTCCTTGACATTGGTCACCTTTTTTAGATTTTTTTTTTTAATGAGCAAGCACTCTATTTGTCAAGGCATTACCTAGGTAATGCCTAGGCAACAAGGCACCCCTGGTGGTGGAGTGCCTAGCCTGAATGCCATGCATATCAAAAAGGCACCCACCTAGGCGACAAAATCACAAATCAGGTGCCTTGTTGTATATTGCTGCATCTTTTTGGTTTGTGTACTGCCACAATCTATCATTATTTGTGTTTTGTTTTAGGGTTTTACCATTAAAAGTTAAAACATAAAGGATCCAAGGATTTTAGGGAAGAGAGAGAGAGAGAGAGAGATGGCAATTTGAACATGTTCTTGGTTGAATGGCATTGCCTTCGCTTGTCTGGTTAAATCTCAAAGGGGTCAAGGGCCCCTATTCTTGTTGAATGCCAGCTAATCACCACCCAACAGTCCCCTTACACAATTAGTTCATTCCATCCTTGTAAAAATGACAGTATCAGGATGTTTTTCTTTTTTTGACTAATTGAATCAACTATCAAGATGTATGATAGTATTCAAATAAATGCTCATCTTTGTAATGTTTGGTAACATAAATAGTTGTTCTTTAGTATCTATAGAATGTTCAATGGTACAAAGTAGCGCTTATCCAGGTACTTTGCTTCAGCTAGACAATAAAATCAAGGTTCAAAGTATCGACACGTACAATATGCATTAGTTTTTGGATCACCGATATTCCATATATTAAGGGATGGCTGATTTTATTTGTTTTAAATGTTGTAACTTCATGTGACATGCACTGATAAAATGCCAACAAAAAAGGAGTTTTATTTGAATTAAAACGCATGATATGCAAGAGAGTATCTATACTTTGAACCTTGTGTTGGTCATGCTTTGTATGCTTTATCTGTCTGACATACTGTTAAACTTTACAGTATCCCCAGCCGTTATGAGTCATTCTGGAAAGAACTTGACTGTGTCAAGCACCTTTGGAAGAACAGGCAGGAGCTGAAAGTCGAGGATGCTGGAATAGCTGCTCTATTCGGGCTGGAATGTTATGCCTGGTACTGTGCCGGTGAGATTGTGGGGAGAGGATTTACATTCACCGGCTATTATCCCTAAGGAGAAGACACCTTAGGGAAAAAACTTCTTGTGGGTCATATTGTTTCTCATCAATAGGGTGGTTTAAGTAACTGACTTGTTTCTACATGCAAAATTTTGTTTTTCTGCAAAAGTTTTGAAGCTGACCAGTCAGCGAGACAAAGTGTGGTAGCCTTAATAAACTCCAAATTGGTAGAATTCTATTTACCTCATCTGTGAACTGCATTGCTTTCTGATTTCTATCTGAAATTGCTTTGTCAGCGATTTTTATTTCATACGTTGTTTTAGATGGATTGGGGGTATTGTTGCATTGGTAAAATCTTGGGCTGATAAGCATGACTGCATGAGAATGTGGGTTCAAGATTTCGAGTCTGGGAGTGGTCACTTGTGCAAGAAAAATGCCCAAGTATGCATAGGAGGGGATCTTGCCTGCATAAAGTAGGACAACCATACGAGTTCTTTCTGGATGGTACCTGTATCTTATGATCCCTTGCAACAGGATATGCATCTTTGGAAGGTTATAAAATCGTGATTTGTTGATAGGGTGATGACAAATCCTTCTTGGCAGAATGACACATTGTGGAACTTAGGATAAATTTGTTGAACTGGAGCTTAACCTGGAGGCTCGTTGAATGGGATGTGCAGCTTGGATTTTGACTCCAATGAAACAACTCAAGAAAGAATCCGAGAATGTGCCACCCAAAAGTTCTAGCAATAATGTTAGCCTTGGAAGGATTCATTGTACTAATAAGGTTGTCGACTCATTCTTCCCTTTGCCATTGAGGTTTTGGGTTTCTACCTTATCGCGATTAAACTCGTAAGTAGTAAGAGCAGTTGGAGCTTAGAACTTAAAGGTCCGATTCTGCTCCAATTGTGTTGGTGTTGTTCTGAAGCGGCATTTGACAGTATTTAGGGCTCGTTTGGTTTGGGAGGGGTCTGGAATTGAAATCGGAATGGGCTTAACTTTTTAGTTGGGTGGAATTGGAATTCCATTCCCATTCCCGGTGGAATGCCATTGGCTGTTGGGACCGACCATTGAGATTGTTGGGCCACCTAGGCAGAATTGGAATGGCTGTTGGGGCTGACTGTTGGAACACTCAGTTGGGACTAGATCCAAACTCCACGGTCAGACTGTTTGACCTGGGGCTATTCACAATGACAACCAAACCGATTTGGTCAGTTTTTAAAAGGTATTGGTCAGTTGAGTTCTTAAATTAGAATAAACCGAGAGTTCTGTTCAGTTTGTAGTTTTTACATGTGAAAATCGAAACTGATCCAATTCAACTTGAACACATGTTTACGTGAAGTTTAGTTAACTCGTTTTTCTATTTATGAAAGCTATCTGTATTATTTATGAAAGTTTGCAAGTCAAGTCTACTTAGCCCTTAGACATGATAAGATGTGCAGTATGAGGTTTCAGCTTTTGAGATGTATTTATAACAGATCAGATAAAAGTTTCTTTGAGTTATTAGTCTAAATCCAACCAAAACAAAAAAATCTCAGTTCGGTTGAGACCAAACCACCTGATAATCCTTATTACAAGTCAGTTTTATGTATCTTCCGGTCGGTTTCTGTTATCATAACAATCAACCTGAGCTATTCAGTTGGGTTGACACAATTGCATGCAACCGAACTGACCCGACCTGTGTACAACCCTAATTTGACGCATGACTCGGTGACAAAAACTGTTTTAAGTCTGTTCAGGTTTGACCACTAATGACCATGATAAACCTTCCATATTGATCTATAAAATATCTTCAAATACTGAACCATCACAAGATCATTACTATTAGATCTCTACCATCTTTCCCTCCTGAAAGTACTTTATTTGCAGCAAGGCCTAAATTCATTTTGAGAGAATGACTAATCAACCCAGCTCAGAATTCTTAGCCCTACCGTATAGAGGGATGAATCCTGATCATGGATTGATGCCAAATCCACGGACAAGATAGGGGGGGGCTACTAGTACACTATGGGGGGCTGTAATTTCAAAATTCTGCATTGGGCCGCAGTGTGCTGCTCCCATTCATCAGACGCTTGCTTGGTACGTATATGTTTGGTAAATAGTGAATGTATGGTATAATGATGTAATCTTTTCGTACACATGAGCCAATGCACATCAAGAATAAAAAATAAAAAGTAAAGATTCTGGCCAATTTATCAAAAATAAGGAAAAACAAAGAAAAGAAAGATTGAGGCCAACAGAGCACACCAAGCCAAAATGATAATGCACAATATAAGTTCACTAGGTTCACCCAGAACATTGATCCATTCATTACAAAGATTCTTTAGGAGAAAATTTCTTTACATTTTCAGGTGTAAAGGTATTTATTCCTTACAAAGTAATTCCTAATAGTATAGCATCTTTCCCGGTGAAAGGGAAAAAAATTATGCATCTTCAGGATGCCAATTTGATTAGTTAGCTATTAGATCTAAATAACACCGAAGGAACTGTAGTATGAACAGAACCTCACAATGACTGCTGTATCAAAATCGTCTTTAGAGGAATTGCCTGAATGCTGAGATAAGTTTTGGTGACAACAATAAAAAGAATGCTAAGATCGAACCAAAAAACATGTTGATTGCATATTTGACTGGATCCTCAGTATCGTCTTCAGATGTGCTTGTGGTAGACATGGTTGTGGCTGAAGGTAGAGCTTCAAGCACAGCATCTGCTAAATCAGAGATGAAGGAAGAAGTACAACCCAGAGCAGGGACTCGACCCCAATTTTCAATGCCAGATTCAAGTGCCAAGTGCTTGTACTCCATATCAATCTCTTCCAGAGTCTCTATATGCTCGCTTACAAAACTGAATACCGAAATAGACAGTCCAAATGTTAAAAGAGAGCAGACTAAAATCTTCACTTGAAAGCTAAAAATCAAGAACTGGGACCTTTTGGCTATATGCCTTCTATCCAGATTTCAATTTTATCAACAATTTGTACTATACTTAGAAGCCTACCATCTTAAATACCAGAATCAATTTCAACAGGATATGAAATTACATAAACCTACCATCTTAAAACTGGTGACTTACAGAATTTAGAGCAGTTCTTTATGACAGAACGACAAAAAAATCATACCTTACAGGGACAGCCAGGAGACTTTTTACACCTTTCTGACCAAGATCAACAAGAACTTCATCGGTATAGGGCTTCAACCACTGTACAGGCCCAACTCGGCTCTGGCAATATAGAAGTGGAGAGTTATGTCATCTTAAAAACAATTTGGTATCAGATCTTAGAAAAAAGAAAAAACATAAACAAACAAGGAGTATTCAGACCAGGTTCGCTGTTAGACAGCATTTAGAAAAGGGTACAAACCCTGAAAATTAGGTTTAAATGGTAAGAAGATAGATCTTAAACCCACCTGATAAGCAAGAGTATGATCATTATTAGTTCCCCTAGATTTCAACTCTTGCATGATCAAGCTGATGCACTCCTCCATCTGATCTCTGTATGGATCTCCTGCCTCTTCAACATAGCTAACCGGCACCCCATGTGCACTGAAGAATATCATCACCTATCATTTTACTACAGAATGTGAGAAACTCATTCGCAGGAAAGGAAAAAAGAGGCAACAAACAAAAAGAAATAACAATTGCAATTGCCACTGATATATGCACCAGAAGACCATGTAATTACAATAAACTTGAAAAAGAAAAAATAATTACTTCTTCAGGCTTGGAGAAACTCTGCAGTTCCTTCTCTATTAAGTTAGCCATTGACTTGATATAACCTTCTCGTTGGTACCATGACTTTATAATAGAGACTGGGAGCCTTGACAGATAAGGGTCTTCCCTGACAAATTGCCCAATTTGAGTTGAGTCAACCAAGGTGAACCAGAATATAAATATCCCATTAAAATCTCTCAAAAAAAAGGAAGTTTTAAGACTGAAACAGGTATGCAAGTTTTCTACCTGAAGATACTTTGGAGAAGGCGAATGCTTGACCCACTTGTAGAAATGGAGAACTGAGGATAAAGTGGCAACACAACAAGCCTTGTAATGCTGTCCTTCTTGATCTGTCAACAGAAGTGCAAATATGCCTATTAATGATGATTAAGCTAATTTTTAGGTGTAAATAAATTATTCAATTGAAGAATGACTCAATATAGGACCAAAAACACCATAGATGCATGAAAAACAAGTGAAATTAGAGCCACTTTGTAGTTACACAAATACAGTAAAAATCTATAGGTAGAATGATTCAATCCAGTAGGAATAACTTATATATCAATCAAATTACAAAAAAAAAAAGAATGGCAAGACACAGTTGCTATGTAAATAAAGGTCATTGAAATGCAACCACAACTTTGGCTGAAAAAGGATAGTCTTGGACTTTGGAATTACAGTAATGAAAAGAGGAAATTCAAGTGGCTGACTAAGGACATGGAAATCCAATACAAATGGGTAAAAAGACGTGCGAACTCTTTGGCAGATGGTCTAGCTAGACAAGGGGTGAACAGACATTCTATTTTTTGGGCTGTCTTGTAATTGTTGTTCTTTTGATGCTTAATGGTTGTTCTTGGGAGCTAAGATTGTTTAGCCCCCTTGCCCTGTAATTTTCTCATATTTTTAATATTAATTAAATCCACAGTTATTGATAAAAAAAAAATGCAACCACAACTTTGTTCTACTCTGCTTAATGCTGCAGAGAATAAAAGTTCTGCTGAAGTAGCCAAAGGGATCCTAAGAATTTCAAATAAGGAGGTAGCATGTTGCAAGGAATGCTGACTGGCACAACAGTGGTGGAAGTAACTCAGCATTTTATTTCAATTTTAGCACTCATCATGGTTGATCCAAATGGGTATTATAGCAGAATTATATACTACATGAAATCAAACTCTGCAATCCCAAATTCCAATACAATAAGAAGCATAGACATGATATGAATCAGAAGAAAAGAGAACAGAATTGTTCAACACAATGTAGCAATGTTTCAATCATAATTATTCTGAGAAACTACCAAGAACATCAGGATTTACAAAGAAATTGAATGTCAAATAAATCTAAGATGATGAAGAAAACAAAGAGACCATAGAAGCTCACCTGATGAACTGCTTCCTCAGTAAAAGGATGCCAGTATCTCATCCCAACATATACATTTACAGGCATTTCCTTTTCTTCCAAAGCCATTTTCAGTGCATGTGCCTGGACAAAATTTTCAAATCAAATAAATGAACCAGAGAAGTAGAAGTGTAAAACATTTCCCTAACTGGAATATAGCCATTATTACTTATTTTTATAAGAGAAAAGGCACCAAACAACACACTTAATTATTTGCTGACAGCCTGACAGAAGGGTGTCTTACCTGCTCATCTGTTATTTTCCGCAAGGGTGAGCCACCCCCTATTGCTGCATACCCTTCTTTACTTTTTGGAGCTCTAAGAACTGAAATTAGTTGCGCCAAGGGCCGTTGAAGAAACCGGAATGGCCTGGGAAGTCGTATAATATCCTGTCACAATAAGTAGAATTGCAACATTATTCCTGAACTTCTCAACACAATAAGTTTCAGGTATATAATGAATACGTGGATAACCTACTGGATCTGCAAATAAGTTGAACAAAAATGGTTGAACATCTTGAAGCGTTTCTGGTCCCCCAAGGTTCAGAAGCAGCACCCCCACCCTTTCTGTTGCAGCATGTGAAGGAGATCCTAAAGCATGTTCCCCAAATGTGCATACTCCAGCAGAGCAAAATGTTTGACCAACTAGGCTTCTCTTCTGTACAGAAGCACCCAAATATGACCCGGAAACTCCATTCCTTCCATCAGAAAAATTACGAGATGAAATGGAAGACGCCTGGAATGAGAAATCTTGATGATCTCGCAATCCTTCAGATGAACAGCAGTTAATGGATAAGAAAGACTTGGCAGCAGGGCATGATCTGTGACAGAAATTCCATAATGATATTTCAGAAGACAGACAATAGGCCATCCAGCAGCTAAAAACATAAAGTTCCTAATTGCTAACTTGACTTGATGCAGGATGGGGGTGCAGAATGACATCGAAATTGGTATTTTCCGGAATTATACTAAGGGAAATTTTGATTTAATTAGTAGTCCAATAACAGTCATTCCACAGACCCTCCTTCTTAACCAACTACAAAACATGCAAAGGCAAAAAGCACTAATAGTACTTAGGTTATCAAATTGGAACAACGGAGTAAGTAGAAAAAAACTCCTGAGAAGGTATTAGACCCAAAATCCTTGCCGTAAGTGCACCTTACGGACTTGCTTCTGAGGGCCATCTTTGGAAGGGTATAAATTACAAATTATTAATGATTTGTTATGAGATTCTCGTAAAAAGGAAAAAAACAAAGAACAAAGCAAAGCGTCATATAAACATTAGATTTCACAAGAATCATTAGATGGTGGTGGTGGTGGTGATAAGGGTGGAAAGCTGTGGAATATATAAAAGAAGCACGATAAGTGATCAAATAAATTCCATCTACGTTGCGTATCGTAATAAGAAACGCACCCTAAGTCCTATCTATCAAATTAAGTAAATTCGATGGATAGACCATTTATTAGGATCTAAATTGTCAACTAAAATCTAGATAAATGACTTCGAAGAGGTCAGTAGATGCTTACATGGAGATATTATGATTTGCACTGCGAAGACGCGAACCAGAAACCTTCACATGGGGAGGAACAGCAGAGTTTGCAGTCGCAGCCATAGCCAGGATCCCAAAAAGAAAAATACAGAGAGAGAAACCTAAAGTGAAGAAGTGGAAAGAAAAAAAAAATGGTTAGGGTTTCGCAATTCAAGGGCTTTGGAGGAGGAAGAGGAAAGGAGGGCCGAGAGTCAAAGCATGAAATTCAGCGAAATAAAAAAGAAGGCCGCGCCACCTTCCCAATTCCCACAGAGAACGAGTTGTTTTGTTGTTCAACTGAGACTCGGCAAAGCCAACGACCGAACCAACAACCCCTAACCACTTTCCAAGAAATGGGAAAGTGGGGCCTTCCTTTCTCTCTCCAATCTCCACGTTTTCCTTTGTACCCGAAATGGTTTCTTTCACTATTCTCTCCTTCTATCGGTAAAAAACATGGCCACGTCACCCATGCAGCCATGCTATAATGTGAACTGTGAAGTTTAAGATTCTCTTAAGCGCAGGTTACGCGGTTTCGTTATTCACCGTCCAAGGAACCTTCCGCTGCGTTGTTAGCCGCGCTATTTATTACGAATGAATCGTTCCATTCTATTGCTACCTGCAAGTCGGAGATGTTTCTGATGTGCGGCTGTAGTGTTATGTGGGTAGGTTATCCGGACCGGCTACCATGTTCAGCGAGGGCCACTTGACCGATCATTGATTAGACCTGGCAATTGGGTTGGGTGGGTCGATTCGGGTTGGGTTAAGGTATTTTGGGTTGACTTTCGAGTTGAGTTGTCAAATGCTAGATCCTAACCCTAAATGTTCAGGTTAAGGTTGACCATGAGTCAATTTGAGTCATCACAAAAAATAATTGAAATTTAAAAAATTAAAGAAAAATTACATAAAAAATGTTAAAATTAAAAGAATTAAAATAAAAAACTTGAGCATTTAACAATTTAAAGAGTAAACAATAAAAAGTAAAGACTAAATAGAAAAAAATTAAAGATCAGAAACTTCTAACAATGCATAAATAATCCCAATTAGACTTGACAATCGGGTCATCGGGTTGACCCATGACCCAACCCAAAACTTTTTCAGGTTAGATCGAATCTGGTCACTTTCATATTCGGATAGCTAAATATGAGACCCTAACCCTCTTTTTTCGGGTTGGATTGAGTCGGATTCACGGATTGGGTTGATCAATAGTTTTGAAAGTATAAACATGTAATGCAAATACAAGCGTGTGATGCGGGTTATGTCACCAATCACGAATGAATGCATTTTAGTGTTTCAAAGCTTATGATACACAAAAGGACATGGTATTGCTGGAGCTTTAACCAATTAAAAAACACTCCGGATGAATACCACCTCATTGGTCACCTCATCTATGAAATTAGTTTATTGGCCTTAAACTTTTTTCTGGTATCATATGTAGCAATAAGGGCAATGATGTGTGTAAAAATATTAATTTGAATATCTTTGCACGGTTCACTGGTGAATCATGTCCTTCGCATTCTATTAATCTGTAATAGAAAGAGGAAAGAAGGAAGGTGAGGGTCTCTTCGGAGCTCACACTTACCTTAAATTCATAAAATGTATCCTTAATTTTAGGGGTTGTGTCAAGTCAATCACTGAACTTCAAAACGTGTTTTTATGGTATCTTGAACTTTCAAATTATGTCTAATAGGTCTCTATCGTTATTTAACTTTCAGTTAATATTGTCACATGACATCAGATATGCATTAAATAATTTCAAAATGGCAAAATTATCCTTATAATATTTTTTGACCATTCAACCCATTTTCGTCTGGGTGTTAAAAGAATGAAAGGGGAAGAAGGGTTATGGAATCAGGCAGGTGATCGTCTGGTTACAATTGATTGTTGAACGAAGGGTTGTGTCAAGTCAATCACCAAACTTCAAAACGCCTCTATAGTATTTTGAACTTTCAAATTGTGTCTGATAGGTTCCTATCGTTAATTGACCATCAGTCAACATCGTCACGTGACATAAGATATGCATTAAACAATTTTAAAATGGCAAAATTACCCTTTATGATATTTTTTGACCATTTTACCCATTTCGTCTAAGTGTTAAGAGAATGAAAAGAGAAGAAGGGTTATGAAATTTGATAGGTGGTCGTCTAGTTACAATTGATCCTTGAAGGAGGGATCTTGAACAGGAAAGTAGGAGCTTCAATAGTTGATTGGTGTCAGGTTTCATAACCCTTTTTCTAATACTCAGCCGAAATGGGTAAAATGGTTAGAAAAATATCATAAAGTATGGTTTTGCTATTTTGAAATTATTTAATGTGTACTTGATGTCACATGATGGTGTTGACTAACGGTCAACTAATGGTAGGGATCTATTAGAAATAATTTGAAAGTTTAATGTACTTCATAGACACGTTTTGAAGTTTGGTGACTAACTTGACACAACCCCCTAAGTTCAAGGTACTGTTCAGGAATTTCTCTTATTTTTATTTTAAATCATTAAAAACCTCATGGGTCTTTATTGTCTCTAATAAAATCCATATTTACTCTCTAATCAAACTCTCTCCAATGTAAATTAGATAGATTTTTTAGAAAAAATAAATTAAATGGATCATGTTAGGTTAAAGGCCAACCTTAACATGTCTTAGCTTGGACCCAAACTAATGTCAAAACCCAATTTCATAATTGTTAAGAAATAAGTTTAAAGCTCGATAACTAATAATGAAAAGATAATTAATCTTTTACTATTTTATACCTAAAAAATTGGAAATATATAAAAACTTTAATAAATAACAATTACTTCATTTTTTGCTTAAAAATACATATGATAACAGCAGTCCGTGCAACACACGAGTCATTGCTATTTCTTATATAATAGATTGAGAGAGACTGGATCTGCTCCTCTCACAGGGCACCTCACACCGACCCCACATGCACATCTTACCATGCATCGGAAACATCTCCCGTATTTATAAGTTATTATTCACAGGAGATGTTCCTAATGCACAGTAGATATAACTGTGAGGCGCCCGTATGAGAGGAGAAATGGAAAAAGAAAGCTGCCAACAAGGTATAGACAGAGACGCTTGTCCATCTTCACATTTGCACGTTGTTATTTGTGAGGCACAGGTGTCTCTCCCTGAATGGAAAAAAAAAAGGATAGATGGAAGAGATCAGGATGTACTAACCAATCACAAGTGATCACACCAAAGTTCTGAACATATGGGATACATATGCCAATGTGATCGGTTACATTATTACATAGTTTGCAATATAGAGCAGTGCAGTAAAAGATATAGGCTCCATTGAGAGGACCGGTTTTCATGCAGTGGTTTTTGGTTCTGTGAAGTGGAATCCACTTCATCAGCCTATAAACCATGTTTGATGAAAACCTTGAAGATCCCAAAATGATTGTTTGAATGTAAACTAAATAAATAAAACGGTTTCTTTCACTTCTCCAAAGCAGTTCAACCAGTGCTTCAGCGCTTAAAAACAAGTTCAAATCTACTGATCACAGCACATTATTGGCCATATTCATCCAACTGCATATTGGGAACATCTATTATATTTATATCACTGATATTCTTAATGTGTGGCGGAGTGAATATGGTCAGTAAATCTGGGATTCACTCAAAAACATATCCCACTTATGAGGTTATGCACATTTTAATAGAAGTCATCGAAACTTTGTTCGATTTGAAGGAAAAAAAAGGGAAGGGAAAGGAAGAGGAATATAAAAGTTTTTCCTCCTTTTCTTTCAAAAGTGCTAGGCATAGCTTAAATCTAGCAGTGTCAATGTCAAGGATGTATAAGGTGTTTAGGCAATTATATCATATGGTGACATATAAAAGCAATGACTTTCATGTTTATTGTCTTTGCAATCCTCCTTCCCTCATTCCGTATAATCCTTTACTCTCCATTCAATCAAATCCTTCGAGATATTGAGGTAATCCAATCCCGACCTATTTTTTTAGTTGTTCAGCCTTATTAATTATCCAACTATTAAACCCCCACCTTGGCCATATTATTTTACAGTATATATATATATTAGCAATAAATAATGTATAAATATGTTTTAAATATGTTATATGTATTATTTTATATTTAAAAATTGCTATTTGAAGCCAAAAAAGGGGGTTTTCACGAAAATAGAAGGGCAAGGCGCCTACGGCTCCTTGGGACACATAGATCTCAAAAAGTTGCCCAAAATATAAAAAATCACTCTAATTGGACATTAGAGTGCAAAGTTATGGCGAAAAGTTTGTACGCATTCAATATGCAACCTGCAACCTAGTCACTATGTCAAATGGGTCAATGGTCGAATCGCCCGGATCAAACAGTTCTTGACTAAGTCAACAGTTTTAACTGTCTAACAGGTCTTAACTAAAACGAATCCGAAATCCTAATCAGATATGATTCAAACGATTCGACCAACCGTATCAATAATGGGTTAAAAACATTGTTATTTTAAGAAAAAATTATAAACAAATATCATGTATTTTGAGGGGCCTCAATTATATAGGGTTGGGTCTACGGTTTGTGCCCCAATTATAGTTGGGTCGGGATTGGTTGTTGGTTGCTCTGAACCTAGACCACCTATATGTATAATTCTGTATCTATATTAGTTAGCATCATGGCCCAAAGTATTAATATACATAAACAAAAATTATACACGGTCATTTCAAATAGACATAATACTTGGATTAAAAATTAAATGAGTTTTGAGATTTGAGTCAATACATTCATATCGGGTGTATTAACCTTTAAACTGGCCAGAAGTCCAAACTCTAGATGTGATATTGTATGCCCGATAGAAGATGTATTATATCAATACTATTCACATATTATAAAAATACCCATAGTCTAATGCTTATCTGTAATGTGTGTCAATTTAAATGAATAGCCTTTTCTGACTTCTGTATACACATGTAAAAAAAAAGAAAAGAATAGGCTCATTGCCATAATTATAATTTAAAATGTATAGCTGTCAAATTTAATTGGGCCTTACTAGAACAGCCCTGATAATCCTAATTAATAATTGGGTCAAACTATGAGGTCTGGTCCGGTTCAGAACAGTTTATACACATTTATTTATTAATTATTGGTTCATGATTGGGTCGACCTTGATTTGTACCCCATCGACAACATTAATGTTCTCTTGAAAAGTCTTTATTTTATCTCTCTTACTATAAGGTCTGGTCCGCTTGTCAAAACATGGGAAGTGTGGTTTGAATCTTGTGGCGTGGGTAACCATTAATTATTAATTATAAGAATATATATAGTAATTATGAAAACTAATAATTTTTATTTTATTTTGTCCCTTCATTTTACCTTAATGGTATTTCTTGCCTGTTGTTAAAATTAATAAATTTTATTCCCATTATGATATTTTGACTTCATGTAAAATATCATAATTATTTGACTTTTGATACAAAAATGATTTGGGCACACCAACTGTTAATTTAATTTGATATGGCTACACCACATTTTTACTTCCTATAGTGTGTGCATAGAATATTGATAGAAGCATGAAGAAGACTTCATTGTATGGGGTAAGGCTGCATTGATATTGGAAACTGAACAAGATCTTATCTATCATATATTAAAATAGGTGGTATTCATAGAAAGAATGGTTATTTCGAATATTAAATAGAAGCATTATTTTTCAAACATGTGTTTATCTACACTTAAAAAAAAGTATGATCTTTAAAACATATGAGCCATGCTTGGGTAGGCTTCTATTTTTCTACTTTTAAAAATATCAAAATATAAAGTACATAAAATACTTTTATATTAGTATTTTTGCTTTGAAAACCGTTCAGGTAAAACAAATTGAAATGTATACTTTCCAAAATAAAAGTACTATTTTTTGTTTGACAAAAGCATATTCACTTATACTTCTGGTGTCGGTTTATGGTGGTTTTGTGGTCTAAGACCGACGATATTATATGACTCTAACAATGGAGAACAGAGGTAAGGTCAAGAATTTTATTGAAGGGTGGTTACACGAGACCTGCCATTTGCATAAATCGAAAGCACTATTGTACCAACAGCGTAAAGTATGAAAAATTGACTTTGTGTTTTTGGTGTTTTTAAAGTATAAAGATACGAAACCAAACTATATATCTTGTTTTTTTTTTGTATTTTTAGAAAAAATATCAAAATATTTTATAAAAATCTATCCAAACAAAGGACTAAAGATTTGGGTTTGGACTTTGGACACGTGAAGGGCTGGGCCTGGGCCTAGTTCCATGCCCCTTATAATAGGTGCCAAGCCCGGATCGGGTCCGCCCATCATCAGCTCTTATTGTTCCATGACAATTGACAACTGTCTTTGCTTTGAAAAACAAAACTTCATATCGTGGCGAACACGCTGGACACATAAAGAATGGGTCATGAAGAAGTTTGACCATTCAGACTCATAATTCAATAATAAATTTTGAAATAAAAACACAAGAACATTTACTTTTTTTTTTTTTATAGATCCAAAAGGTGCTAGGGATAGCACGACCCCCCAAGTCACAACTACAAAGAAAAGAGACCGAATCAGTCCCCCATAAAACTGCCCTTTCCATCATGTATTAGGAATATCTCTCAATGAGGACATTATTATTTTGGATATTATCATTGGGAGATGTTTTCGATACATAGCGGGGATGTGCTGTGGGAGGGGGGCTGATTTGAACTCGAAAAAGAAAAGGGGAACTTGCAAACTAAAATTTAAGAAATTTGAAAGAAAAGATTGGACTTGATGAGCTATCCGGTTAGCTGCCTGCACGGTAGACATGCCGGTACTTCAAACCAAACTTGGACTGAGTTTTCAGGGCAACTCAGTCTTCAATGATGCTCCTTATGCTCCACGGCGGTTGAGATTTATTGCGCAGACAAGAGATGGCAACTCAGTCTTTGAAGTTTAAGGCTAAATTATCGGCTTTCCAAGCAGCCCAGGCTTTGACCATAATGATAGTGGCCTCGCCCAGAAAAATAAGCCAACTTTTCCACTGCAATTTCTAGCAATGACAGCCACAGAACATTTATTCCCCTTAATGCATGATGCGTCAAAATAGCATTACTTTCAGGGCATTTCCAAACTATTGATTTTCATTCTTTGTAGTTTTTCCTTCATTTAGATGAGCATTCACCAACTCAGAAAAAGCAATTCCTGCCTTTTCAATAACCTGAGGTGGGGGAGACTCAATATTTTCAAATATCTTACGGTTTCTCTACTCTTCCAAATGGACCATAAAATAAAAACGGTTTTTCTAACTTATTTTCTTTGTTATGCGATGAAATTCTCTCCCACCACCCTTTCATACTTCCATCATCTAGGACGATCAATATTTGGATAAACCACCATCCAATTTTGATTTGAATAAGTACACAACTTGAATATATGATTGGTATCTTCAATCTCTCCACATTGAGCACAAGTGTCATCAATATTAAATCCCCCTTTTCTCGTTTTTTTAACCCCAAACTTTACTCCAGGTGGAGGGGCGATCACCTTAAATTTTATTAACCATTTTCGAAAGGAAAATTCGTAATAACAGGGGAGGACTTAGCCCACCTTGCCCCATTACCCAAGCATACATAGCTCTCCCTCACCATCTTAGGCCCACCAAAAAAATTAAGGCCTAGCAAAACCTAATTAATTCTAAGGATAGGAAAACCCAAATTATCTTCGTGAATAAGACGAGCCAAATCCCCTTTTTTCAACCTATCCCTAGTGGGGAGTCTATCTCTTAGAAGCAGCAAAAGAAAAACTTTTAGCTTTGGGGGACAATTTAGATTCCAGACTTTGGAATACCAATTAAAAGAATCAGAAAAATCTCCTCTACATTTGTTTTCTGTTGCTTTATCAAGATAAGATGGAGAAATTTCCTTTTGGCTCGAGTCTCCAAATAAGTTCATCATCTTTATTCACTGAAGGGACAAAGATAGATTATATTTTTTGCCAAGAAGATGGCATTACAACTTTTCTAAGTTTATCCTCCCTCCATACTCTTCTATCTTCATCAATAAAATCACTAACCAAGTAACCAGAAGATTAGGATTATCAATGCTATCACTACTTCTTTCTTCTGCAAGGGATTAATTTCCTGCCCACTTATCATACCAGAAGTTTATTGATTTACCATTACCTAATATCCAGCCATTTAGGACTTCTCTAGTTTGAAGAATTCCTCTCAAAGCCCAAGAAATCCCCTTTCAATACTAATAGTCTATAAATTTTTATTTTTCAAGTATTTGTATTTTACCACTATCATCCATAAATTATCCTCATTTTTTTTTTTTAAATTTTCCAACCCAATTTTGCAATATTTGCTTCATTTATCCAATGAAGCTTTTTCAAGCCGAGCCCACCCTATTTTTTTTGGGAGAAAACACTATCCCATTTCATTAGGTGGGTCGGTTTTCTTGTCATTTGAACTGTTCCACATTTTTTTTTTGAATTTATTAGTATATTTTATAACATTTCCTGGGATTCTGAGATTTCTCATAATAAACTGGGGCATCATGGAAATTGCCGAATCAATAAAAACTAATCTACCCGCAAGAGAGAGATTTTTTCCATCCCGATAATTTTGCATCAACTTTCTCCCTTAAATAGCTGAAAGTACTTTTTTTTTATGCGACTCTTCCCTGAATAATCAGAGCTACCAAATAAAATTTTGATTCCTTATCAATGGGAACTTTTAAAACCCTTGGCACATAATCTTTTGGAGTTTTTATGGAATATTTCTAGAGAAATTCACAGCTGACTTGAAAAAGTCTGGGTATTGACCCAAGGCCTCAGCAAATTTATTTAAAATCTCTTTTATTTTCAAGCAGGGATAATAGTTTTAGCGGGGAAAATAGTTTACCAAATATAAGACAATCATCTGCATACTTTTACGAGTTTGATGACGATAGTAAGAGTATAAATATAAACCAGTCTGAGGACGTCCTTTTGGGCCGGTCTATAGCATCCAACAATCCAAACCTGACCGGATCTAGGCCTCTAGACCGGGCCGATCACCACTGAAATCAAACCCATGTTTATGGTACCCGATCTAGGAGGGTTCGACCGCACTCTCGTGGTTTTTCTTTTCAGAACCGGATCAATGTATCAAGGACTAAAAGCGCGGAACCGCACACAATAAGGAGTAATGACACGGGCGCCATGACAGCGCTTCACTTTTCCACGATGACTCGTGAGATCCACCCACAAGTAATCGAATAGAATAGTCGTAGGAACTAGAGAGATTGTTGAAATAAAGTCAACCGCGGCAATTTTTTGTTTTTCATTTTGATTACTTCGTTACTCGAATCGAATCGAATCGATCAATTTTATTTTTATTCTTCTTCCAATTCCCCGTCGCAGATCCCTAGATGTAAATCTTTTTACCAGACGAAGGAAGGTCTTTTTGATTGATCGAACCATTCAAATTAAAATTGGAACTCAGGACAGGAACCTCTGATCATTTTCCTACCGAATAATGCTTCATAGGAGCTTCAAGGCCGCGAAATGGTAACCTTTATCTGCTTTTGAGATCCTATTTTAAGTTCCTCTGTTTCCCTGTAAGTTATGTATGCATGTCTGTACAAGTTCTTGTCCAAAATTTGTTAATGATTAAGGTTCTGTGGTTTTATTAAGGAATTGTAGAATTCTAGGGCTTTGTTGTTAGAGATTGATTTTATTTGTGATTTTGCACCTATTTATTGATTTCTGTTGTGTGGTGCAGCAAGACATCCTTGAAGCTTGCGGCATCTCGTTTGAAGCTTCTAAAGAATAAGAGAGATGCGCAGGTGAAGCAGTTAAAGAGAGAATTGGCCAAGCTTATTGAGTCTGGACAGGAGCAGACTGCTAGAATCCGGGTATGTCTTAAACTTTTAACTCACCACCAGCGTTTTTTATGTGTGTCTACTGGGAGACTTTTAGATTTTGGTGAGAAGTTGATCTTTGCTATCAATTATATTTCATTATTATTAGTTTTTAATTTCCTCGTTGTCTATCTTGCATCTGTTTCTTGTTTATCATATTGAATATTTCAAATGTAATTGATAAGCTGTTCTGCCTGTAATTGTGTATTCTTTGTTGGAGATGAATTATTCTGATTTGTGATTATGACGAGATGTATTCAACTTGCTTCAACATACATAATATTTTAATGGCATCTCCAGACGAAGTCTAGTGGCCAGTAAACAGGTCAGAGATCCTAAATTCCTAACTAATAAAACGTTATTTAAGAAAACATGCTAACCAGTTGGCAACCACCATTGCGTTTTGTTTGCTCCTGCTTATTTCTTTTGACGACAGATACATCCTTCATAAAATATGCTAAATGAAAATATGTAAATTGCAAAATAATTCTTTCCCAATCAGGACGGATGAATATGTTATATAGGAACCTCCCTAGGTAGTAAATAGAATTTCTAGTACATGCCTTTTTTGAATGAAAAAACAAATAAAAATAGAATATATGAGAGATGGGATGATAACCACTTCAAGGGAGCTGGACCTCCTAAAGCTCTCTACATGGAGACTTTTTTTTTTTTTTCAAGTGAATTACTTCTTCATTAATAGTTGATCACTTGCAAGACAAATATATAGACCAATTAGGAAACTAACACAACTGCATCCGAATGAGCTGGAGACAAAATTGCACACACCGGGCTGGACTACCTATCACGAGTGAACATACCAGTGTTCACTGTGGGCCCCATCTGTACTGAACACTGGCGTGTTCACTCGTGATAGGTAGCCCGGCCCGGTGTGTACAATTTTGTCTCCAGCTAATCGGGGCTCAACACAACTGACTGCTTATCTAGACATCTTACACATAATATCCCACTAATTCACTTAACCACAAACTACTAAAGAGGTTCAAAATAAGAAACTAGCTACTGGACACGTAACATCCACCCTTCTTAGGGAAGATCTTGTCTTGAAGATCTAGGCTCCACTAGGATCCCAAATTGTTCTCAACTTCTTTTTGAGAAAAGGTTAACCAGATTTCATTAAAATAAGCAGAGAGTACTTGAGCGGATGCACTACAGTAAAATAATCCGAAACAGCTAAATAAAAGATTACAAGGGGGGAAGCCTATTGCTGTACAGATTTTCTAGTCTTGCTCATTTCAGCTAATCCATCTGCAATATGATTCAGCTCCCCTGGTATCCACAGCAAGTTTGCATTTAGGTCTTCCACTGAGTCTCTTGCCTCAGCCAGATAATGACTCAACCTCCAAAGACACCCCTCCTTATCCTTCAGCCACTTAATGGTATTAGCTGAATCTCCTACAATAGATAAGTTCTGAATGCCCAATCTTTTTATTATTCTGATTCCAGTGAGAGCAGCCATCACTTCAGCTTTAGTTGAGTCAGCATAGCCAATTGGGCCACTGAAAACCTAGCAGATGTTACCCAGTTCGTCCCTCAAAATACCCCCAATCCTAGCTATACCAGGATTGCCTGCAGCACTTCCATCAAAGTTTAAAGTCATCCCTCCTTCGTTAAGAGGTACATGCGGTCTCTGGATGATTGAGGGTTGATTGGAAGAAACAAAACTGTTTGGATATTTCTGTTAAGATCATTGAGAGAGAGTCCTTGGAACAACTCTGAATTAGCAGTCCAGAGATTACAATGAAAGTAGATATCTGAGATTAACTCTTCAAGAGATCTGATTTTGTTGTCGAATAAACACTTGTTTCTTTCCTCCCAAACTCCCCACAGAACTGCATGTAGCACTGTTTGCCAGTAAACTTTACCTCTTTTGCTTAGGCCTGAACCTTGCCACTGATGAAGAAATTCCTGAATATGCTTTGGAAAAACCCAATTGTAACCAGCCAGGTTTAAGAAGTGACACCAAATCTTTTGAGTGAATTTGCAGTGGATAAGCAGATGATCAGCTGATTCACCTTCTCTAAGACATAACAAAAAGGCATGAGGAGAAATATAAGATCTTCCCAAACTTTTTTTTCTGAAGGTCATAGGTATTTATTCTCTGTAGGCATGCTTCCCATACAAAGAAACAGACTCTTGATGGAATGTGACTGCACCATATCTTCTTGAAAGGGAAAGAGGAACTTTGTTCATCTGCTGTTAGAGCCTTGAACATAGATTTGGAAGAAAAATCATCCTTTGGGTGGAGGGTCCACACTTGGGCGTCAATGGAGAGACGAGAGGTGTAGACTTCTTTAATGGTGTGAAAGAGGTCCATGAGGTCTGATATCTCTATGTCCCTTAGGGGTCTTCTGAGGTTTAGGTTCAAATTATTATCAACAGGAAGGTCAGGAAGACAAGAGGAGACAATTGAGTCTTGATCTAAAGAGAGATTGAAGAGTCTAGTGAAAGAGTATGCTAGGGTGGAGTTCCCCCACCAGAGGTCTTTCCAGAATTTTATTTTAGTACAATTTCCCACTTTATATCTAATGAAAGGAAGGAAAAAAAGAATGTGAAGAGACTATACTTTTCCAAGGATTTGAAGTCTTTACCTGGTTCAAATGAAGATTGCTATCACACCCATTTGCACTTGTTCCATATTTGCTTGAGACGACAGCTGCCCAAAGAGCATTGGACTTAATAGGGAACATCCAAAGCCATTTGCTCGAAAGAGAGGTATTTTTCTCTTTTAGATGTCCAACTCCCAATCCTCCCTCCTTCTTCGGCTTACTCACTTGGTCCCAACTTACCAAGTGGTTTCTTTTCTCCCCTCCTTCCCAAAGAAAGTTTCTTTGGATTTTCTCTAAGAGGTTTCTCACTTTAGTTGGAATTTGGAAGACCGAAAAGTAATAGATTGGTAGATTTGCTAGGGAGGCCTTTAAGAGAATGAGTCTTCTCCCTTTTGACAGTTAACATTTTTTCCAGGAAGCTAGTTTCTTTTCACACTTCTCCACCACCGGCCCCCCAAAGCTAGTTTCTCTACTTCTTAACAGTTAATAGTACGCTTCCTTCTCCATGCATTGCACTATGTTGGTATAGAGTTAAGATTAACACATGAATCATGGGGCAGATCTTGGATTCTATCCCTCTAATGATTTTTTTTTTATCAGCAACACAGAAAAAGATTCGTTAAATTAAAAAATCATGTACAACAAGAAGTTGTGGGCAGACAAGAAGTCCAAAGGAAATCCCACTGATTACAACATAATCCCAAGTATAGCCCAAAAGACAATTCCACTAATTACAACCCAGCCCCAAAGATAGCCCAAAGGAAATCCCACTAACTACAACATAGCCCAGAACATAGATTGTCTTTGAACTCCTTGCTTAGCTAGACCATCAACAATGCTGTTAGCTGATCTCCTAATCCATCTTATTTGAATCACCATGTCTTTAGAAATCTGCTTGAAGCGCCTGAGCTCATTCCTTAGCCTCCAAATTACTCCTTCTCCTTTCTTCAGCCAGTTTACAACAATTTTTGAGTCCCCTTCAATAATCAACCTGTTAATCCCCAATTCTTTAGCTTTATCAACACCATATACTGCTGCCTTCAGTTCTGAGCTCACCACATCACCATGCTGAATAGGACCTGAGAACATGTCTATCATATTTCCATTCTCTTCCTTACTACCCCCACCAATACCCGATGGGCCAGGATTTCCCAAACGGCTACCATCAAAATTTAGTTTCTTCGACCTAGCATCCAGAGGGGACCAGAATTCACTTACAATAGATCTTCTAGATGTAGTGTTTGCAATTGTGCCCCATGATCTGAAGAAGTCTTTTGTCTTAAAATCAGCAAACAGTTTTAATGCTTTCACCCAATGCGCCATCCTTAAAGTTATCACTTTAGTCACAGCTTCTTTCCTTATCACCAAAGATCCTCAGATTTCTTTCTTCCCAAATTGTCCAAGCCACTGCTGCTCTAGTGCATCTTCCCATAACTCTGCCTCTCCTTTTAGAACACCTGAAAATGTGAGAGCTAAAGAGGTCTTCCAGATTAGCAGGAGTCCAGCTGCATCCAAACAAAAAGGAAAACCACTCCTAGACATAATTAGCAAAAGGATAGGAGATTAAGAGATGAAAGACAGTCTCACCGTTCAGCTTACATAAGGAACACCAATTTGGGGACAAACACCTGTTTGGTCTTTTTCTCTGAAGCAGGCCACATGTATTAGTGGAGCCATGGAATACTTCCCAACAGAAAGCATTGACTTTAGGAGGGATGGGCCTAAACCAAATCTCCTTGACAGGGAAGGGAGAAGAGGAGGTGGCAATAAGAGAATTCAAAAAGGATTTGCAAGAGAAGGGCCTTGACTGATTTAGAACCCAAACTCTAGAATCTGAATGAGAACAGTACTCAACATGGTACTCCAAAATTTAGCTGGAATTGAACATCTTTGATAACTGAATAAAGTGCCTTCAGAACTTTCAAAGGTGTTCTTGTGATTAGAATCAGTTTTCACATCTTTGAGGACCGTGTGAAACATATCTTCCTCAATGATGGGTATATCATTGAAAGAGTAGTAAACAATAATCTCAATAGTTGATTCTTGTTATTTGGCCTCTTCTAGCATGCCAATGTCTTTTTTTTTTCATCTTCATGTGCAAGAGGATCGCATTGTAGATCAAAATTTGCACATAATAAACCAACTTTCTGGAGGGTTTCCTTTAGAATGTGAAATTATTCTTCATAGTCTTTATGTAACAGCTTAAGTCCTTCTATCTTCAAGAATTTCCTTCCATCTTTAGGATCTCAATTTCTTCATCCATCTGAACAAAGGTTAAAAACCCTTATACCTTATCAAAGGTATAAAAAAACTATTTGATACAGGCCTTTTTTGAATGAAAACAAAATAAATAAAAACAGAACAAGAATGTAATGAAAGGAGTAGCTCATGCAGTGAGATGCTGAGTGTAATGAATGTAATTGT